AAGTCCATTTCTTTGTCCACTGCCAAAGCTGAATACATTCCTACTAGAAGCTGTTGTACTCAGGTGATGTGATTAAGACAAATGTTGTGTGATTATGACATTCCTCAAGATTGTGTTACCATTTTTCTTGACAACACTAGTGCGATAATTATTTCCAAAAATCCTATTTAGAACTCACGCATACAAAGCTTATAGATATCAGACACCATTTCATTAGAGATCTAGTTGAGGACAAAATCATTACACTTTCACATGTGAACACTAACAACTAACATATCTTTTCATAAAAGCCTTAGACTTGCAATATGGCAGCGCAATCTTAGCGCCCATTGACAAAAAAGGTTTCAAGCTTCAACTCAAGCAACGATTTATAAGAAGCACACCACCTTTCTTCTTTGCTCAAGTATGATCTTCATTCTGGAAATGCAACTTGTAGAATCAGCTTGCACTCTGTTAATACAACTTTCCGAGCAACTTGCATTCAGTTAAAGCAACTTGTTAACCAACTTGCATTATGTTAATGCAAGTTGCATGCAGTCAATGCAACTTGTTAACCAACTTGCATGTAGTAGAGAGAGCATGATCTTCCTGTTATGATCGAATGGTGAAGAATGAATAGCCTTTGTGTTTGTTTTGTATTAGAATGAACGGTGTAGATATAAGTTGACAAGAATTTGTACTCTACCTTTGGGTATATAAGTCATAATAGTGCCACTGTAGCAAATATTCAAAACGAAGAAATAAAAACAAATTTTTCCAGATTTTTTCTGCTCTGTTTTCTTTTTTCTTTCTCATGGTATCAGAGCTGTTGACATACATCAATAGCAGATCGTAAAACACCTCTCACCTCCGTCCTTAACATAGAAGGAAAGGTAATGAATTCGGCTTCCATCTCAACACTAAACAACACTCTACCTACCATCACTGTGAAGTTAGGATAACAAAACTATGCTTACTGGAAGTCACAAGTTCTTCCTGCCCTGAAAGCTTATGAGCTAGAAGGCTTTGTTACAGGTGATAAACCTTGTCCTCCTACCTTTACTATCTTTGAAACTGATGAATCAAAACAGGTTGTTAATCAAGAACAGTTAGTATGGAAAATGATTGATCAATTGTTATTTAGCTGGTTCATATCTACCATTTCAGAAAATATGTTCAGGCATGTTGCTAATTGTGAAACAACATTTGATATATGGCACACATTACAAATGCATTTTCTAACAAATTCTAAGGCTAGGATCTTACACTTAAGGAATCAATTACAAACAACCAGGAAAGATAGCTCTAGCATAAATGATTATGTGCTTAGAATGAAAGAAATTGCTGATTCTTTGACCACCAGTGGTGTGGTTGTAACTAAAGAAGAGTTGCTTTTATACATTCTTGATGCACTTGGAACTGAATATGATGCAATGGTAGCCACTTTAACTGCTAGGAGTAGTGAAGTATTATTACAGGAAGCACAATTCCTGTTACATAAACATGAAATGAGACTGGAGAAACAACACTTTGCCTATTTAGGCTTTCATGAAGCCGCTGCCTTCTTGGCAAACAAACAGCCTTCATCATGGCAGCAAAGTTGTTTACATTCTTGTTTATGTCGACGATATCTTACTAACGGGAAATGACAATTCGTTAATTCAACAAGTAATCACCAACTTGGATAGCACATTTGGTCTCAAAATTCTTGGCCCTATTAACTATTTTCTTGGTATTTCAGTAGTTCATATTAGTCATGGAATGCTTCTTAATCAGAGCAAGTACACTCAAGAAATTCTACTTAAATATGGCATGATTAATTGCAATCCTTGCTCTACTCCGATGATTCTTGGGTCCAAACTTAGCCTTGATGATAGTCCTCTATTTGAACACCCATCTATTTATAGAAGTCTTAATGAGGCCTTACAGTACCTCACCATGACTAGACCTGATCTCTCTTTTGCGGTAAACAAACTGAGTCAATTCCTCAAAGCTCCAACTTTTAACCACTGGCAGGCTTGCAAACATGTTCTTTGCTATGTTAAAGGGACCTTACACCATGGTCTAACCTTGAGTAAAGGTTCCAGTTTACAGCTTGAAGGTATGCCGATGTTGATTGGGCTAGTAGCCCATATGATCGTAAATCTACTAGTGGCTATTGTATCTTCCTTGGCTCCAACTTGATTCAATGGTGCTAAAAAAAAAAAGCAGGTGGTTGCCTTATCCTCCACTGAGGCAAAATACTGTGCCTTGGCACATGCTTCTACTGAGATCGCTTGGCTTCAGAACTTATTTTAGGAGCTCTATGTCTCTATTCCAGGCCTTCCTGTTCTTTGGTGTGACAACACAAGTGCTAGAGCTCTTGCTTCAAATCCCTTTTTCCATGCTCGCACCAAGCACATTGAAATTGATGTGCACTTTGTACGCGAAATGGTCTAAGCTAAATGCTTAGTTGTCCAGTATGCTGCTTCCACCTTTCAAGTTGTTGATATCCTTACCAAACCTCTCTCCAGCTCTCGCTTTCACACTCTTCACGATCAGCTTCGTCTCTCTGTCTCTCCCGAATTTGAGCTTGAGGGATGAACTAACTATCCTAAGCAAGCTTCAAATTCGAACTCAGTGTTAGAGTCAAAATCAGCTGAGAAAGAAACAGACAGAACAGAAAGAGGTTGACAAAAATAAGCTAAACTGAGCTAAGATTGTGCTTAAGGGACAATGTTGAAAAAAAAAAAAAAATTTATTTTTTCGTTGCTGAGTTTAGCTTGAGGGACGATATTGGCAGAAAAGGTTTCAAGCTTCAACTCAAGCAACGGTTTATAAGAAGCACACCACCTTTCTTCTTTGCTCAAGTATGATCTTCATAACTCTAGAAATGCAACTTGTAGAATCAACTTGCACTCTGTTAATACAACTTGCCAAGCAACTTGCTTTTAGTTAAAGCAACTTGTTAACCAACTTGCATTCTATTAATGCAAGTTGCTGAGCAACTTGCATGCAGTTAATGCAACTTGTTAACCAACTTGCATGCAACAGAGAGAGCATGATCTTCCTGTTATGATCGAATGGTGAAGAATGAATAGCCTTTATGTTTGTTTTGTATTAGAATGAACCATGTAGATATAAGTTGACAAGAATTTGTACTCTACCTTCAGGTATATAAGTCATAATAGTGCCACTGTAGCAAATATTGAAAACGATGAAATAAAAACAACAATTTCCAGATTTTTTTTTGCTTTGTTTTCTTTTTTCTTTCTCACCAATCACAGAAATATTGGAGTTGCAATTTGAATTTGATTGCAATTCCGATATTCTCTCTCTTTCCTTAATCTCAAACTTGTATTTATGAGAAGGAGGTTAGCAATTTGTTCTAAGTATTACATTATATTTCTCTTGTAAGCTCTCCAACGCAATAAGAGAATAGTGGACGTAAGTTTAAGTTCTAACTTGCCGAACCATTTTAAAATTGTTTGTGTTCTTAACATTACTGCACTTTCATATTATCATTGCTGATTTTTATTAATCACACACATCGGTTCCAATTCCTTCATGGTCAATCGGATCACTCTGGTCGTTGCAAATTTCATATCAACAGTATCCCTTATCAAAAGTAAACTTTTGTAAATAAAATATAAAAGAGATACTTCTGGTAACGCCCTATAAGAAATATGATTTTTTTTTTTTTTTTTTTTATCATAGATCAAAAGATTACATTTTAATAATACCATTGTTTATTATTGAGCTCACTATCCAATAATACATCAAATAAATGTGATAACATTGTTTATTATTGAGGTCACTATCCAATAATGGATCAAAGAAATGTAATAACACTGTTTATTATCGAGCTCACTATCCAATAATAGATCGAAGAAAAACGTGAACTTATTATAATTCCATTATTTATAAATAATATTTTTATGAGCACCTATTCTAAATTCGCTAGTTTTATTCAATTTAATGCTGCCAGATGTAAGTTTATTTTCAGAAAACGATCATGACTCAAAGCTTCTAAATAACTTAAATAGGTATGGAAATCAGGCTAAAGAGATCATGACTCAGGACAGCCTCAGCTGCTTGATTAAAATTAGAGTTAATAGAATATAAGTGAAAAAAAAAAAAAAGAAAAAAAAAGAAAGAAAAACTGAATGAGGTCAGGAAATAGAAGATCATGATCCATTAATGACTCAGGACAGCCTCAGCTGCTTAGCTAAAATTAGATTTAATAGAAGACAAGGAAAGGAAAAAAAAATTCTGAAAGAGGTATGCAATGCCATTAAAATTTTAAAAAATATAGTCAAACATTTAATGAAAGAGGTAGTGAGTTTCGGACATGGAGGTGCAGCCAACTTAGTTGGAATCATGCAGTAAAAAATTCAAAGCACAGCTAGCTGCTTCCTGGTTGCTTGATAAATTTATAATTTAGACCCCTTTTTTAAGCGTATTGTTAATATATGAGTTGAAGGAATTAAAAGTCATCATTAATTCTTTATTATTTTAAGTTTATAACTTAATTTTACAAAATTAAATATTTAGATCGTGGAAGCTGACGATGACTCACCCTGCCATAACCGTGGTGAGACTGGAGGAAAGAAAAAAAAATACTTTATTAGTTTAACTTTTAATTTTATAAATCGGTATAACTTAGTTTACAAAAATAAAATATCTCTAAAAAGATTAAATAATTTTAAATTTTTAGCTTCTAAAATTATTTTTGTTAAAAAAAAGAGCAACATATAATTCATAGAGAAAAGAAAAAAATATGTCATTGTTAAAAAGAAATTATATACATGTAGCTATTTTTTCCCTTTTCAGAAAGTCATAAGCCTAATTAAACTTCTTATTTTAAAAGGAAATATTACGTATTCTTTTATTTCATTATTTTGCTTGTTCCCACAACTAAAACAGTATAATATTGTGGCGAGCGAGGCATGTGAATTTTGTATCTCGAGTCCAACTTTCAGCAATTTTACTCTCTGTTTGCTTTGCTCTCACACTCGTATTCTTCTCTTCAATCCAAAACCATGGCCGAACTTTTGCTCTCTGCAATCCTTCCTGTGTTGTTTAAAAAACTTGCGTCCCCTGAGTTATTCAATTACTACGCTAGTAAAGGATGGGTGAATTCCGAGCTGAAAATGTGGGAAAAGAAGTTGAAGAAAATTGAGGCGGTTCTCTGCTCTGCAGAAGAGAAGCAACTGATGAACCAGGCTGTGAAAATGTGGCTGGACGATCTTCAAGACTTGGCTTATGATGTGGAGGACTTACTGGAAGAGTTTGCCTTTGAAGCTGCACGGCACAGCTCCAATCCTATTTTCAAGAATTTCACTCCAGTTGCTATTAAGTTCGATTTGAACCTGCGATCCAGGATAAAAGATATTAATAGGCGGTTCGAAGTTCTCTATAATGAAAGAGCTCAACTTGGATTAATGCAGGAGAACTTTGGAGGTATATCAAGTACCGCGCTTCCTGCTCAGCAAGGACTTGATCCAAGACCACCAAGCTCTAGTCTGCCAACTGAACCCGCTATTTACGGGAGAGATGAAGACATAAAGGAAATCCTTAAGATGTTGTTAAGTGATAAACCAGGTGATTCTAACTTTGCCGTGATAGCTATCGTGGGCATGGGAGGACCTGGAAAAACTACGCTTGCTCGAGAAGTGTATAACGACAAGACACTGGAACATCTCAAGTTTGAGAAGAAAGTATGGGTTTCTGTTTCACACAATTTTGATGTTTTGAGCATCTCAAAGTCAATTCTGGAGTCAATAAGACCTACATCTAGCAATCTGAATACTTTAAATGAAGTGCTAGATAAACTGAAAGAGGAAATACATGGAAGAAAATTCTTGCTAGTCTTAGATGATGTCTGGAATGAGAATTACAGCTTATGGGAAACCCTGAAGTCTCCATTCAAGGATGGTGCAACGGGAAGCAAGATGATTGTTACTACTCGCAATAAAAGAGTACCATCAATAATGGGATCCTCTGAACCTCATGATTTAATGCCTATATCAGATGAAGATTGTTGGAGCTTGTTTTTGAAGCATGCACCATTGAGTAGTATGGACAATATTGATGCTCTCAGAATAACCAGTTTATTTTGTGAGAGAGTTGTTAAAAACTGTGGAGGCTTGCCCTTGGTGGCAAGGACTCTAGGCAGCCTTCTACGTCATGAGCCGAGAGTTGGTGCATTGGAAAATATATTAAATAACAAAATATGGGATTCACCTGATCCAAGTACCGTTCTTCCTGTGTTACGATTAAGCTACCATCATCTTCCTTCACATTTGAAAAGGTGTTTCGCTTATTGTGCAATTTTTCCCAAGGATTATGAATTTGAGGAGAAGGAACTTGGCCTTTTGTGGATGGAAGAAGGTATTATTCACCAATCAACTAAGCAAATGGATTTGGCTGGTGAGTAATTTCGTCATTTATATTCAAGGTCTTTTTTACAACAATCGAGTAGCAATAATTCTAAGTAGTAATGCATGACCAAGTCCATGATCTAGCTCAGTTAGTTTTTGGAGAAATTTGTTATAGATTGGAGGAAGCCAATACTCAGCAACGAAAAAACTTCGAAAGGACTCGCCGTTTTTCTTATATTTCTAATTATTTAAATGGAAGAGATAAATTCAAAGACTTGCATAAATTTAAAAGTTTAAGAACATTCTTGCCAATTTTCATTCGTCCTTATGATAAGGACAATCGATCTTACATAAGTGCTATTGTTCTTTATGATTTGTTGCCCAAGTTAAAACAATTAAGAGTATTATTTTTAGAAAGGTATTGCATCACGCATTTACCTGATTCAATTGGAAGTTTGATACATCTAACGTATCTCAACTTTTCCAATACTAAGATCAAAAGTTTGCCTGAGTCAATAAGTTCATTATTGAACTTGCAATTTTTGATATTGAAAGATTGTTCTTGTCTCATGAAGTTACCTTCAAAGATGAGATGTTTATCCAATCTATGTCATCTTGATATCAAAGGTGCAAATTCATTAGAAGGGATGCCAACCAGGATGAAAGAGTTAAAAAATCTCCAAATGTTGTCTAATTTTATTGTAGGCGATGGTAAGAGTTCAAATTTGGAAGATTTGAAGAGCTTAAATTTTCTTCAAGGAGAGCTTCACATTTCAAAATTAGAGAATGCGATTGCTTCAACTAGGGCTGTTCAAAAAATGAACTTAAATTATCTTCAAGGCATGTTGGAGGGATATTAAGCAATAAGAATGACCTAAAAGTCTTATTGCTAGAATGGGGATCCCAATTTGATCACGTAGCCAGGGACGAGGTAGATAAACGTGTACTTGGCGTGTTGGAACCTCATAACAATCTAAGAGGACTCACCATCAGGTTCTATGGCGGTTCAGAATTTCCATCATGGCTAAGGGGTTCACTGTTGCTCTCTAACATGGTGGTCTTTAAGTTAGAAAATTGTAACAACTGCACAAGCTTGCCTTCTCTTGAACTGTTGAGGTCGCTAAAAGACCTAAAAATCCAAGGGATGCCGAGATTAGAAAGAATCCATTTTGAGACGCCTCTCAAGTCATTAGAGATTCTTTGTTTTGAGAATTTGCAAGAATGGCAGTATTGGAACACCAAGAGAGAAAATGAGGCTGCCGAAAGATTTCCTTGCCTTCGTGAGCTTTCCATCATTGATTGTCCAAAACTTACAGGGGAATTACCTAACTGTCTTCCTTCGTTAGAAAGACTTTTTATTAAGAAGTGCACAGAGTTGATTGTTTCATTCTCAAGTTTTTCATTGCTAAGTAAATTAGAAATTGATGACTGCAAGGGAGTGATGTGCAATAGTACTATTTCTGCTGATTTCCCATCTGTAAATTCTATGACTAGTTCAAGTAATTCTAAGTTTGGAAATTGGATAAAGCAGGGATTTCAAAAAGTTTTAAAGATTGTTGGTTGGAAGGATCTGATGAATTCATGGCAAGATTTGAATTATGTTGAGAAGCCACTACGTGGGATTCATGGTCTTATCTTCCTTAAAGAGTTGTATATTGTAAGATGTACAAGTATTGTTTTTTTTACGGAGATCAATCTTCTTCCCAATTTGAGTTCTCGTACAATTAGTAATTGGGAGGCTTTAGAATCTTTTCTTGAAGTATTGAAGCAAAGCAATTTGGAGAGCCTTGTAATTAGAGATTGTGATTCACTAACACAAATTGCAAGAGACACGCTGCCGCCATCTCTTACAAAGCTTGAGATACGAAAGTGTGAGAACTTGAAAGAATTAGAAGATTTCAGTACTACTCTGCTTGAGTCTTTGTCCATTTATGACTGTCTATCTCTCATGTACGTATCATCACTTGGTCAGTTTCCGGAGACACTCAAGCACATTAGCATTGAGAGATGCCCAGAGCTCTTCACAATTTTATTTTCAGGAGCCCAACTCTTACCAAAGGCACTAGAAGACCTCTCTATAAAATATTGTTCGAGGTTGAATTCAATAGGAGAGACGTTTGATAATAGCACTTCTTTTAAAGAGATTATGCTATTTGCCTGTGAACAACTTGACTCCATTCCTTCAGGCCTACACAATCTTGCTTTTCTACAGAGTTTTCGCATAGGGGATTGCCCAAATATTAGAATATCCTTAAAATTCCCGAGCTATCTTCAAACATTAGATGTATTGAATTGTCCAATATGTTTAACAGAAGAAGATTTTTCCCACCAACCTAACAGACCTCAACATCAGCGAAGATGTCGACGTGTAAGCCACTAACAGAGTGGAGGTTGCACAACTTCACCTCTCTTGTATTAGTGGAACGCCAAGTTTTCCTCCGACTTCTCTATCTTCTATGCCTTTTGAAAGCCTCACCTCTCTTAAAGTGTTGACATTCAGAAATTTTCCAGAGCTGAAAACCACTCCAGATTTGGGCAGCCTCATTTCTCTTCAACATTTGTGGATTGATGATTGCCCAAACCTCAAATCCATTCCCCATCTTAAGAGCCTTACGTCTCTTAAAAGTTTACAGATTTGGAAATGCCCAAAGTTTGTATCCGTTCCCAATCTGGGAAGCTTCACCTCTCTGGAATCTCTGAAGATTCGGAAATGCCCAAAGCTCATATCCTTTCAAAGCATGCCATCCTCACTTCTGCTGTCTAGAGCGTGAGGACTGTCCATGGCTAAAACCTGTGGGAAGGGGTACAGTTACAGCAAAATACTGCTCGACGATTGCTTACATCCCTAAAGTCGAAATAGATGAGAAATTCATTTACAATTCAAAGGAGGAAGAATGAGATTAGTTATTTGATTTCAGAGCTTCCAATCAGACAATTATCTCATTTCAACCCAGGTTTGTCATTTCTTACACCCTCTAACAGTAGTTATTTTTCTGTTTTTCTGCCTCAGTTTCCAAGTTACTAATTATTCTTAATTTAACTTTCCAGATAATGTGAAAAGAAGACACTCACTGCGGCAGTTTGTCTAGGTAATTCAACATTTTGTGATGTTTCATTTAAATTAAATTTTATTCGTCATGTCTGAATTTGTTCGATATATTTTCTACTTAAAAATATGTGTCAAAGATTTTTTTGGTTAACTTAATTTTGTTTATTTATTTTTGTTTTCAGTGGAAAGCAAGTGAATAGCTGAAATCCCACAGTTGGTGAGTTGTAATTTGCTAAGGTGACTGAAAATGAACTTCGATTTGTAATTTTGATTGTCAAATCTGCTAAAGATCCTTGCTACTCTGTTTTTGCATGATATTTGGACATTTTGTACCTTACTCCTGGTCCTGGCTTTAGTTTGGACGTCGCATTTCATGGCCTTGTATAGATAGTATGATTAAACAACGGTATACCTTTGGTTCTTATTTTTGCTAAAACAAGCTTAATTCTGTTTCTCACATCTAATTGAACATTTTGTAACTTACTCCTGGCGTTACATTTTCATGCTTATATTACAAAACACGGATTTGCAGTTCTATTGTTGCATCAGGTAACTAAGGTGAACTTACATACTTATCGCTATATTTTCTTCGTTACTTTTTGATTTTTTTTGTCTTTAAGAAGGCCAGATTTTATTTTTTGTTTTGAAATCTGTGTAGCTTATCTTATCTACTGAATCAATTTCTATCTTTCTTACGCAAATAATGGAATACAGGTCCATAACCGATTGTGAGATTGGAGGATAAAGCAGCCCTAATCATTTCAAACCATTCAAAACATTGATGTTCGTCAATTGCAAGCACATGAGACATTCTTTCCCCTCTTACGTAGACTTATTTTACGTTTTCTCAACACATTTCTTTCTTCTTGGAGCATAATTGTTTTAACGTTCAAGGTGAATTCAAAGATTGGAGTGATGGGATCAACATCGCTTAATGAAGTGATATGCCATCTTGGCTGAAAGACTCGAGGAAAAATGTCTTGCAGTTCTTGTTACCAAAAAGAGCTGAATAGCATTTTCAACTTGAAGAAAATAAAGTGTATTTCTTGAGATTAGTACTATACATGGTGGTACGACATTTTGAACTTGGATAGGATTTCTTAAGATTTTTAGATCTTTGTAACATGACAAGGTCATATCACAGGATCAGAGAGTGCAAAAATTCCAATATCACAATACTTAAACTTCAGGAGATGAGGAGTTCTCCTCTCCTTGAATCCTTTTCATAGAGGGCTTGCTGGATGTGATGATCTCATTGTCACACACCGCACCCTGAAGTCACTGTGATGATTGAGGATTTTGAAGCCTGTAAAATTGCAGCGACAGGGCAGCGACGTAGGAACTATAATTGATAGTTTCTTCATCAAGAAAATTAATTTGTTCATAATCGTACTCTTCGGTTATACATACTCTGGTGAATGGTGCTGTTACAAATTTGTATAGGTGAAGGGTGAGTGTTGGGAATTGTGAGGTGTTGTTAAATATAATACGAATCAAAGACTGCAGAGGAAATTTCTTATTTTGGGACTTGTGGGCATAAAGTGAGAGAGGGTTGAGGAAAGTGAAAGAGGGCATTCAAGGGTTTCGGGTTCGATTGGTTTAATGTGAGAACTTAGATTTGTTACTATGTTTTTCCACTTTATTCATTCGACTCATTTCCCGTGAATGTAGGCATAAATTTGCCGAACCACGTAATTTGGTGTTCTTCTATGTGGGGGTGTCGTCTTATTGCCTTCTTTAATTTTCGTGTCTCAAACCTATTAGAATACTATTTTCTAATCTCGAGGGTGTGCTCTGATACCACAAGGGTTACTAGACCTTAGAGATGTTGTCAGAAAATCATGGAGTTTATGCATGTGGGAAACTATGATAGCCGACCTAAGCGGAACCAATCAACACAACGATTGGTCTAAAAATGGTCAAGGCCCTCCTTTTATCCCACACACACGTACACCCAACAGATTCTAACACCATCAAAAGGGCTAGGAATATTAAACACCACATAAATAGAGAACATAATTAAATGAAGAACATGTACATAAATGAAGAACAAGAACATAAATGAAAACATAAATATTAAACGTTAAAGAACATAAATAACACATAAATTAAAACATATATCGGATCTTTTGCTATCTATAACATTTTCAGAGTATTACAACACCCTTGAGGTTGAGGGAAACTTAGAAATATGAAAGAAACATGGAAGAATGTAAGGGAAGATGTGTAGAGAAAGTATGGAAAATGTATGGAAAGAAGAGTGAGAGAAATAAAAGTGTTTGCAAAGTTTTACAACAAAGTTCCTCCTCCTCCCGGGAAGGGAAAGCCTTTATTTATAGATACAAAGGAGACAAGCTCTCATAATGAGGCATTAAGTACAAGACAAACCTTTTTGACTTTTTTTTTTTTTTTTTTTTTTTTTACATTAAGTAGCCTACAATTGTTGACAAAGCTAAAGCTTACAAACCTTGACTTTTTTACAAAGGCTACGGGAGAAATTACAATGAAAGGCAAATTGCCATTTAGTCCACTCATATTACATAAAGGACACCAGCATTTAATTTAATTAAAGGCGCGCAGATCTTTAGTCGTCTGACAAATTGGTAACGTGCCACGATTCTTCATCCTGGAAGTCGAGACAACCCATTGATTGAATCCAGTCAGCAGGGATTTGTCGGGGAGATTTGTCTGGATGAGTATCCGAAGAAATGTCGGAATTGAGATGTTGGCGCTGCAGATGTACGTGGGTGCGTTCACGTATTGTTGTCGCCTGGATTATGGAGATAGATCACGAGCCTGCTGAAGCTCTTCTTCCTGCACAGTATGGCTGTGAGTCTGGGTACCACCATTCGGGATAAGATGAATTGTCATCGGATTGAGCATGATGGAACGTATGCACGTCTGTTTGGCTTGGAGCAATTTCTCGTGTAGTCAGAGGAAAGAATTCCACGGAGCATCATCGTGAAAGGATGGCCATAGTGCATCTGGAATGATCTGATTTTTTTCAAAAAGGATTTTTTGAATTGATCTAGTCTCAATGATGATCAAACATATTGTGGACAAGATCGTATGGATAAGACCGATGAAAAGTGGCTTGTGGTGAGAAAAATATATGCCATCAGATCGGATAGAGTGAGTTCTGTGAAAAAACATTATAGACCATGCCATTTTGGAAGACATAGGACCTTTGTATCGGGCAAGTTGGTGAGCAAACACAGATTTCCATTTGTCGAGGGTTTTGAACCATCGGAGAAAAGTCATCATAGAATGCAAGTAGGGGTTGAGTTGACTGGTATTGGGAAATTATTTCAAAATATGATGATCGGGAATTGAATAGCAATGTGGTATTGATGTAATATATACCAAAAGAACCATAATAATTCTTCTGGAAATATGATATCAAGACCTGGAGGTAAACAAAGATTTTTGAAAAAGGGTAATCTGGATGGACCCTAACATATCATACATGGATTGACCACATTTTTCAATGCATTGAAGTTGGTAAGAAAACATGAGGTGGTAGCATTTTCATCAATGGTACGAGTTCGAAAAAGGTCATCAAATTCAGGAGGTACATCGGAGGATGGTTTGGTGAAGGAGATGAACAAGAACTGGACGGGTTAATGGTTGGAACATAAAACATGGAAGAGGTTTGGATCTAGGGTTTAGGAAACCAACTTGTTTCGTTTTAGGTCTGGATAAATAATCTGCAATGGTGTTGGTGTGACTTTGATATGCTGGGGTGAAGGAATATTTACTGAACCATCTCCCAGCGAAGTAACTGCTGATGTGGAACCTTTTTCTTATGGAAACGAAGCATTTGATCAAAAGACTTCATATCCGTTTCAACAAAGAAATGATGTCCAACAAGGTGGAATTCAAACCTTTCAATGGCATTTTTGACTGCTAATACTTCCTTGAAAGTAGAATGATAATGCTGCTGGTGTGGTTTGAATTGTCCACTCTGGTATCCGCACAGATGTCGTACCTTGTCGTCATTTGTTCCAAAAGTACTGCACCCCAATGAGTGTCACTAGCATCCGTCTGAAGAATGGTTTCCCCGAAGAAGGAATCTTCAATGGCTGTGTATGGAAGGATGAGCGCTTGAGACTCTTGACTGCATTTGTCTGCTTTTCAGACCATTCTGGAGGATTCTTCTTAAGCATCTGGGAAAGTGGAGTAGTGAAACGAGAAATGTTGGGGATGAAACAGCGCATGTAATTGGCAATTCCCAAGAATTGTTGTATTTCTTTCTTGGTGTGTGAGAACATCTGGGAATTTTTGCAATTCATTAGAATATGAGCTGAAGATCTACTTGCCGTCAGCAATCA